TCAATTGTCTTTCTTAGATGCATAATAATTAATATCGTTGTTTTAAATAAACAAGTTCAAAGACAATGACTTTATTTCCTCAATTTTCTCAATAAAAATTAGCAAATAAGTGGGTAGGCAACTCTGCTAGCCGATACAACTAATAACGCCCATTTAGTGTAAAGATACTCGTCTAATTCTCTATCTTGCATTGCATGTACCCTAATCTTATTAAAAATTTCACAAGATTATGTATGTATGGGTAATATCAATTGTCTTTCTTAGATGCATAATAATTAATATCGTTGTTTTAAATAAACAAATTCAAAGACAATGACTTTATTTCCTCAATTTTCTCAACAAAAATTAACAAATAAATGGATAGGCAACTCTATTAGCTGATACGACTAATAACACCCATTTAGTGTAAAGATACTCACCTAAATTTCTACCTTGCATTGCATGTACCATAATCTCATTAAAAATTTCACAAGATTATGTAATTGTCCTTAAATTCAATAGTATACAAATGTAATATAAATTTTCAAATTTTAAAACTAGATGGACTTCATTACTTGCCCCAAGGTGCAAACTAAAGTATACTAATAATAATTTGGCACCATTTAATTGGGGAATCTTTTGAACTATTCATTTGGCATAGGCCCATATGGCATCTGACACACGTTACAAGTTCACTTTTCACCATTAGATTTTTCTTTTTGCCTTTTTCTTTTTCTTGGGTTTGAGACTCCTTCTCCTTGCCTTCTTTAATTCTTGTTGCTCATGACTCTTCCACTCATTTGATATAGCAAAGGAAAAAAGTAAGGTAAGGGTTGTTACTATTTATGTGAATAGTGATAATCCTTGCAAAAGGCTTGTCGTGTTTCTATTTATTGCCATAGCAACTCAAAGGCAACTACCATTCACATGAGATATGAGAAAAGAAATTTATATAGAGTTTTAGTGTGGGAAGTGAAAAATATGACTAAGTATTTATTTTAAAAAAATTCTGAAATTTTATTTATTTTTTTCAATTTTTTTTTTGGGAGTTTCACTAAAACACCCAAAATGGGGATTAAAATTATAAAAAAATCCAAACACTATTGAAACATATAAACACATCCAAAACCCATCATTACACACACTCAAAATTCATTTATAAACACACCCAAAAAGTTGACTTTGGGGTTGATTTTGGGTGTGTTTTTATATTTAAATAATGTTTGAATTTTTTTTATAAATACATGTCTAGGATTGGGTTTATTTATAAATTTGTATTTTTTTTTTCTAAGAAAATTTGTTGCTGACTAACATCAGCAAACTCAGACAACAACCCACAGGCTATTCTTGTTTTTGGGCCAGGCGTGTGGAGCTCACCAGCTGCCCTGGCTGCAGTTGCCCGCTGGAACACTTTTTGGGCCTAGGCCCCCCCTTGCCCGGGCAAGGGGTTGACCGCTGGAACTACTCGTACTGGTAAACCAAACCCTACCAATTTCTCCACTGAAACTCTGGCGATGGAATTCCAAGAAATTTTCGTAGTGGCAACAAGCACTGTAGGCTTTATCTCTCTTTGTAAACCCATCATAAGTTTTCTCAGATGGGTATGGGTCGTGTTTCTGAGACCCCCAAAGAATTTCAAGGACTATGGCTCATGGGCTCTCATCACTGGCTCCACTGATGGAATTGGAAAAGCCCTTGCCTTTGAAATGGCTTCAAAGGGCCTTAACCTTGTCTTGGTTGGTCGAAACCCTTCAAAGCTTGAGGTTACCTCCACTGAATTACATGAAAAATATGGTGGGCAAATTCAGATTAAGAACATTGTCATTGACTTGGCCAAGTTCAGTGGGGAGGAGATAGGAAATGCGATAGAGGAAGGAATAAAAGGCCTTGATGTTGGCATTTTGATTAATAATGCAGGGGTGGCTTACCCTTATGCAAGGTTCTTTCATGAGGTTGATTTGGAGCTGATGGAGAGCACTATGAAGGTGAACATAGAGGGGGCCACTTGGGTGACTAAGGCAGTGCTTCCAATTATGCTTAAGAAGAAGAAAGGAGCAATTGTCAACATTGGCTCTGCTTCCTCTGAGATCCTCCCTTCTTACCCTCTTTACACTGTTTATGCTGCCTCCAAAGCGTGAGTTTTCTTAGATCTTTGTTTCATATTTTGCTTCATTTGTTTTGGTTGGAGAACGAACCTCTCAAATGCATTCTATATATTACACCAGTTTGATTAATTTGAAGCCCTTAAAGTTTTGGGAGAAATTAAACATTATGACAAAAGATGGGAGTTAATGAGTTACCATATGATCTGTCTTGGCCCTCTTGGGAAACCCAATTCATCTTAGCACCTTCAAATGGGGTCCTAACTAATTATGATGTTCCCTGCATATCGTAAGTTGTCACTTACTTCATATATTGAGTTATGGCATTGGCAGGTACATTTCAATGTTCTCAAAATCCATTAGTTTGGAATACAAGAAGCATGGAATTGACGTTCAGTGTCAGGTTCTCATTCTTCCCCCTGGATCCTTTTGACATGAATAATTGGGTGTTTTCATTTGTTTATATCCAAATAGACATATATTTTGTCTTCCAATTTGGAAATTTCATGGGAAACTTAAGTCCATCATTTGGGGAAAAAGTGCCATCTCTGTATGAAGAAGGTTGTTCATGCTGCTCCTACATAAATATTAGTCTTACCCTCCTGCCTATACTTAATGCAGATTCCTATGTTGGTGGCAACAAAGATGACAAAGTTAAAGCCATCTTCCTTCTTCGTTGCATCACCAGAGATGTACAGCAAAGCAAGCATGAGATGGATTGGCTATGAGCATCTGTGCACACCCTATTGGGGTCACTCTGTGCAGTGGCTCATAATACATGTTTTGCCTGATGTGTTGTTGAATGCCATCATCCTTAGGTACTTCATTGGGATGCGAAGGAGAGGCCAATTGAAGGAGGCACAGAACAAAAGTAAACAAATGTAGCCAGCAACAGAAAAATTTATGAGTTGCATTTGATGCAGCATTGAAATTGTGCTCAACTAGATATTACTTTTTCTGGATGAATAAATTTACAACTAATGTATTCGTTTTTGGTTGTGTGTTGTGTTGTGTCTCGTTCCTATCGGAACTTGGAAATATCGAATGATGATGAGCCAATCTAAGCTTAGTCTCTGTTTGCAGAGAGTAGCCAAACTATGCAGTTGGTCTGGTTGTGTGGTCCGTCAACTAACTTTAATTTGGCCTTACTTCTCAACCAGGGCATAGATTGATGGCACGTTAAAATAAGTTTATTTTTCTATAAAAAGGCAACAGAAATTTATTAGATAAATGGAAATAAAGAGTACAAAGGGGCATAAAGGGAGCTATTCCAATAACAATACCCATTGATCTGAGTCAATCATAAAGCTGGAACGATCTAGAGGGCTTTTACCATAATGAGATATTTAATTTTTATAAACAAACTATAAACAAACCAAAAAAATGACAGCTGGCTCTATTAAATTTAATTTTGATTATTAAATTACTTTGATTCCCTATTAAGTGTTTTGGGTTTTTTTATGAGGTTTTGAGGTTGGGTTTGTTTTAAGAAATAAATTATAGTTTTGTAATTTAAAAGAAGTTAAAAGTCTTTTTGTTATGTTGTAAATGGGCTTTGAGTGTGTTTCTAAAGTCTATTTCATATATGATTTTTTTATAATTTGGACTCCTATATTATGTATAATAGTGAATCTCCCTAAAATAATTTTAATAATGCCAATGTAATGAATGTAAAGTGTGGACACTTAAGCAAAAATCTATAGATTCAGCAAGTAATTCAAACTGTTGGCCAAATTGCAATTACATTTTCGTACATATATAATAAAGGCCTGAGTTTCGTTTAGTTTACCCTCTAGAACCGTCTTCCACCTGCAACATTTGAAGAAATCTCCATTGGTAGGTGCGTGGTGCTGCATAATCAAAATTTTCATAAATCCAAGCAGCCTCTAAAATTATTATCTTTAAATATAACGACATTGATGAAGACTTTATAAACCAAAATAATGAGGATTTATAACACCTATAACAAGGTTTGTTTGGAGTCACCCCACCATTTTGTAGTAACTTTTATTCTTGGGTCAAATTTGTCATCAATAAGCCATCTTCATTTATTCTTTTTGAGGACCTTTTCTATTGAGATGGGCGATGATATATTAAATCTACACACATTATACGGATGCTAAAACTCAAATCTATGATCTTTCAAAGGGGAGCAATTGTTCTATACCACTATACCAATGGGTTCTTTGCTAAGTCATTTTCATTTTTATTAGGTCATCTCCAACCCATGAGGCCAAACCCAAAATATCATAAATTTTAGCCTAATTTCTCTCCCAACTCAAAAAAAGTAAGGACCTAAAATTTGACAAAACCCAAACTTGGGGCAAGTACCAGTCCAAGCAAGAAAACTTTTTGGTGCAGCCCATTCAAGGCTAACGTAACCCATGTGCAAGGAGGAATCAATGAGGCGCCATGTGTCGCGTTATTGGTGCTGCAGAAGCTATTGCATGTTGGTGTCGCAACACTTCTTTTTTAACTTTTTTTTTTGTTCCAACAATAACCCAAATCAATTATCCATATTAAATCCAAGTTATTTTAACTGAAAAAAAAAATCCAACGGTTAAAATAATATTTTAAATGAATCTAAATCATATCCAACCCCAAAACTAACTCCAAACTCTATAAAAACACACCTATTTCTCAAATAAAATTATATTTATAGAATTTCTTTTTTTTTAGGTCAAATTGTTAAAAAAAAATTAAATTATGAAGTTATCTAAAAGATTAAAAGAAAAATAGTTAGACTTAAACTATTCTTAAATAATTTAATAAAATTATAGACTTAAAATTTGAGTCTAAAGAGTTGGGGAAAAAACAGTTTGAGTCTGAGCAAAACTTAAATAGTTACTTTTTAGAAAGGGGAAATTTGGGTTTATGACCAAATGAGTTGGAGAATGCCTTACTTAGGCCATCTCTCCAATTGTTGGGGCTCTAAAAGAGATTAATAGAGTCTCATTTAGACCTCCTCTGAAATTTGTATTTATGGGAGCCTTGTGACCTTAAGAAAAATTTATATTTATGGAAGCCGTATGGTGGTTGAGCCCTAAATAGAGTCAGCATTGGGGATGGCCTGATGGAGGAGGGAAATTTCCTTTGTCTTTTTCTTCTTCTAATGCGAACAAAAAATAATTAAATGTAGTCCTTTTTCTCGCCCCGGGAACAGAGTTAGTTAAATGTGGTGGTTTTCCGCTCATCTACTTCATCCAACTCTTCTTTCTATCAATTTCAGACGCTTCTATAAATTAAATTCCATCCTTTAATTCACGCCACTCCCTCCCCTCTTCTTCTATTTCTGAGCCAAACCCAACCTTTGGGTTCACTATTTTCGTTTCAGATTCCAAGCAAAACCTTTCTAAAAGAACATGGGTTTTTGTCTCCTGGAGCACCTCAAGACTCAGCCTTTCTGGCTCGTTGTGCTTTTCACTCTGGGTTCTCTCTCTGTTCTCAGATTCTCTTTAGCTTTCCTCCAATGGGTCTATGTCAATTTCCTCAGACCTGCTAAGAATCTCAAAAAGTATGGATCTTGGGCTCTCGTCACTGGACCCACTGACGGCATTGGCAAAGCCTTCGCCTTTCAATTGGCTCGTAAAGGGCTCAATCTGGTATTGGTCGGTCGCAACCCAGAAAAGCTCAAGGACGTCTCAGATTCAATCCTGGCCAAATACGGCAAAACCCAGATCAAGACCGTCGTGGTTGATTTCACTGGTGACCTTGACAATGGTGTTAAGCGCATTCGTGAGACCATTGAAGGATTGGATGTGGGTCTTTTGGTTAACAACGCTGGGATATCGTACCCGTACGCTAGGTTTTTTCATGAAGTGGATGAGGAACTGTTGAAGAACTTGATAAAGGTCAATGTTGAAGGCACTACAAAAGTTACTCAAGCTGTTTTGCCAGGGATGCTTCAGAGGAAGAGAGGCGCTATCGTCAATATTGGGTCTGGGGCTGCGATTGTGATCCCCTCAGATCCTCTCTATGCTGTTTACGCAGCTACAAAAGCGTAAGTATTTGCACTTTTGTATTCACTGTTTTATATATCTATATATATTGGATCTATTTTTGTTCATTGTTCATTTTGAAGTGCTGGAAGTACAAGGTGATTGGTTTAGCTGCTGAAAAGGCTGTATGTTGTGACTCTTTTCAGGTATATTGATCAGTTCTCTAGGTGCCTCTATGTTGAATACAAGAAAAGTGGGATTGACGTTCAGTGTCAGGTATTATTTTTACTTCTGATATTATCAAATTGTTATAATTGAAGATGGTAGCTAGCTCACTTGGTAGGGTCTTGGGTAATTGATGCACTATTTATTGGGCAAATAAAACATGTTTACACGAGCTTAATATTAGGTAAACTGTCAACAATTGAAGCTCAATTGAGCAAACTCTTAAACAATTGAAAAAAAAAAACCTATAGAAATGTTGTGTCATGTGTTGCAATGGAGTTGCCCAGTATAAATAGTTTGGCCAGTTGTTTTCCAAAGTAGGATACCATTATGCAATGAAAAACTCAATCATTTCCCAACCTCAGTTGGTCTTTCCTTGCCAAGTATTAGGTAGAACCGTAGAAATTCTCTTTCCTTGGTTTTCTTCTTTATGCCTTCATCGAGTTCACAAATTTACTTGAGGATATCAAAAAATTTGCCCTCCCACATGGTAGTTATATGTCGATGGTTAAGTAGTTTCCGAATTCTTTTTGATATCTGCTTTCCTTTTCAGAGGCCATTGATGTATCGCATTGAACTTCATATATTATCTGATTGCATCACAGGTAGTGTAAAACCTGTCATGGAGTTGTTATTGGTAATGGAAAACTGATGCCAACACAAATTAGGATCGATGCATTGCAAATTGAAGACTTCTGAATGTGAATGACATTAAAAGGGTATGTTAGTAATGTTGACATGGTCCATAGTTGAGATGAGTCCTGTGCGTTGTACTTCCTGCCTGCCTAGGTTTCTGATCATACCCATGAGCTTTGTGGTTTAGTGATATGTGGGGTTAGAAAATGGTGGTTAAACATTTCCTAGATTGTGTGATATGTAAAAGTATTCCGTTTAGATGATATTAAATACCCTTATGCCCTGACTCTCTATATGCGCATCGCCATATTTTGGCCCCTAATCTGTTGAGCATTGGATGCTTGCCACCTGGGATGATTGTTGGTATTGACTTTGCTTTGAGTTTTTTTATCATCAACTGAGGAGTTTGTCTTTGCAGGTTCCATTGTATGTGGCAACAAAGATGGCATCTATCAGGAGATCTTCCTTCTTTGTACCATCAACTGATGGTTATGCCCGGGCAGCTCTGCGCTGGATAGGGTATGAACCTCGTTGCACTCCTTACTGGCCCCATACGCTTCTTTGGGCCGTGGCATCCTCATTGCCAGAGTCTGTTGTTGACGCGTGGCGCCTGAGATTTTGCCTGGCTATTCGAAAGAGGGGACAACTCAAAGATTCCCAGAAGCAAGAATAGATGACCGAACATTCTTATGTTATTCTGTTTGGGCCGCTTGGTAGGGAATGCTGTTTGGTGCAACGGATTAGGACTTTCTGAAAGCTGATCGTATGCTTAGACTTCAGTTTATGTTTAATGTTTTAAAATTCCATGGTCTTTGTTAATTAATGATCAACTGCTTCTTCTTTTTTTATATATTAAAGTTCCTTGCAAAAAAAGCAAATAGATAGATGTTTGTCTGTTCGCCCTATTTATTCTTGTTGATTCCTTGAGCTGCAGTCGTTGAAATAGCCACATAGTTTGTGCTTTATGGGCTCTTTGTTGTTGTAAACTTGTAACTTGAAATGGGGTTGCGTTTCTAAAGATCCATTAATTCAAAACGACTGAGGAGAACAAAAAATGCAGTAACATAATTTAATTATGATTTATATTTTCCTTCTTTGAATGAAAAAAAAAGGGCTATTTACATTTTACCAATGGTCAAATAGATGAACACTTATTTTTTTCTCGAC